ACCCCCCACCCCAAAGAATCATTTTCCACTTTCGACAACTAGATATTCGTCCCATATAAATCTTTACTCATATGGCTAAGGTTGGTAACTTATTTTACGAGTCTTTTTCTTATTTCCCTAATATTTCATACCTCTAGTAAAGTCTTTAAGGAATTATTAATAAAAGGGAGAACAAGTCATCAACTCCTACAATATCAAGGTTACAATCGACTATGAAACAATACATACAATAATTTCGACGTAGAGAAGATAAATAATGGTATCGTCGTCTTGTAGTGTAGGCAAAATTAGTCAAAAGTACTAGTGTTAGTAGATGGTGACAGTATATTCCATGTAATTTCTCATGCCGTGCGTGCGTGCGCGCGTGTCGTGTGTGTGTGTAGTGTGTGTGATGTGTGTGTGTGTGTGAGTAAAGTGTGTGTGTGGTGTGTGTGTGTGTGCTGGTGTGTGTGGTCCGACAGGGGTTGTACATGAGTCGCTAAAAAGAGAAATTGAATTGTGTATCTACAAGTTTGTGCAATCTGTTTCGCTAATCGCTAGTGTTGTTAGAATCCCGACGAGTTGAATTAGCATAAAATTAGCGCTAATGCAATACCGGAAGTTGCTAATGCTTTTTGTTGCATTAGCTTTATTTTGCTATTAAAAAAATAATATGGAAAAATAAAATAAAAAAAAGGTCAACATAATAATGAATTTCAACGAAACTCATTAGTTTGACAATTTTTGGTATGACAAGTAGTAAAAAAAAATAGGTTATTTACCTACAAAAGTTTCAGTTACTTATTAGGTAAATTATTAATACTGGGTTTATCTAGCTTTAACCTCTTCTCCAAAGGGTTAGAGGTTCCCCACTGTGAGAGCGAAACTAATTTGAACTAATCACAGGGCTGTCTGAGCAGAACGGTGGTAATAATTGTATCCCAAAATGCAGGACATTGAAATGATAACCCCTGAAATAACCCTTCTTCTCATGCATCATACAAACTGTATCTCAAAATGTACGCACTCAATGTTAAACAAAGGAAAGAAAACTGCAAACGAGAGAACAGTAAAAAGAATATAAACTGGAAAAATTAGCTAAAAGGTTTATATGAAAAGATGAACTCCACCACTTCATGGCAGATTTTAAAATACTGAATAAACTTGATCTCTTTCCATCACCAAAATGTCTAACCCCATGGAAAGGACATTCACTTTGATTCATTATAAATATATATCTACTAAGAAGAAAAAGACTAGAGGATTACAAAGTAAAGAATATGATATGGTTGATTCAGATTGTGTGAGTTTACATATATTGCTTTTGTTTTACATATTTTATAGTGCATGTTTGTACGCAGGTGCATGGTCCTCTTACCTCCAGGGCTTTCCTCTTACTGATGAGAAGCTTGGAGATGTCCCGTGCCACTCGCTCCACCAATTCCTTGGGGTTGTTCCTCTTGATTTCAAACTGGCTCTTCTTCTCATTATAAATCTGCAGATAGAAAACATGGGGAATAAAAGGTCAGATTACCCGAGCCATTAGTTTAATCAAGAAGATCACAGAGGAGCAGTTTGATTATTCTCAAGGTAGCACACAGGATGGTAAACATTTACTGTAGAGCAGGCAGTACGCAGCCTGGAGCTTTACCCATAAGCCTCGGCAATGTAGGAGAATTAAACACAGAACAGAGCCCTAATGGCAAAGCACTTAGCTAGCCAGCTGCAGTCTGGCAGTCAGGATCAAATTAAATAAATGCAAACTCCAGCAGATCCTCACTGCTGGGTGAACATCTTGTATCCCCACAATGTTAACCAACACAAGCAGCCTTTTTTACAGCTTGGCAACAACACATGTGTGACTTAATCCAACGGGTTAGTGAAGGCTATCCGAAACAGAACAGGCCGGAGACATTTTGTAACCATGAAGGACCTTAATCCCCAAGCTAAAGTGCATGCAGGAATTTCAATATTTTCACTTGAAAGCAGCAATATATCAAGCACTCTGGGGCATTAGCTAAATGAAATCAGGTAAGAGCCATTAAACTTACAAAGACTTTCAAACCACAAAAAAACAACTAAGAGAAATGGGTATGGGACTCCATAAGGAACTGGGATGTTTGAAAAGCAGCATCCAGAGGCAGAACGACAGATGCCTGGACCGCTGACAGAGGAAGGTACTTGGAAGATTAGTCTGCTCCCCCTGGAAGAATTGTGAAGGCTGAGTCAGCTGCCCGGGCTCTATAGGATCTGTAGTCTACAACAGAGCACCTCCCGAAGGATTACCACTTATCCTGCTGCCCTAAGACACCGCAAGACCCACTTTCACACCATAAAACCATTTTGTATAGTTCTTTGCTAGAAAACCCAGGAAAGCTTGTTGTTGAGTTGTTTTAATGCAATGATAGGCTTAAAAGCTGCAGTTACTAAGGCTGTGTGTTTAGGTAATTGCTGTTATTTAGAGTTCTCTAAATTAACTTCAATCAATCATTTACTCAAGTAATTACACACACTTTTAAGAGGACTAAGAATTTAAAGAGATTGCTTTAGGTAGCTGTTGTTTTTTTTTCTCAGTAAGGCCCGATATATGCGCTTTAAATACAAGCAGTATGTTAATGTGCATGTTGATTTCCAGTATACATCTGAATATCTAAAAAACTAAACTTTTCACAGGTGGCCTGAAGGGTCTGTGGTTACATTGCTTGCGTGTGGTATAAATACTTGTGAATATACATCAATTTATCTCCCTTACCAAGGCTCTTTGCAGGCTTGAGTAAAGTCCGGTCAAACATTTTGTGGCAAATAAATGTCCAATTGTGTGACATCTGACCAGCAATAAAATATGCTTACTGATGATGCTTACGCAGACTGACATCACAGGTCAACTAGATCACATCACAATCAGGTAACTTCAGAAATGTTTTTTTTTATTAAACATGTTGAGATGCATAGGGTATTTTTGTTTGTCCCATACTCCATGATGTTGCTAATTGGTTTTCTCAATGTGACAACACCAGACATAACCATCTAACATGAAGTGGCAAGTCTGGCTTTTTTCCCAGGTACAGAGAACACTAGCACACTAGTGGTTATATACCACAGTTAGACGTGAGATAAAGCAAAGCATGCATATCTGAATCAATTGCTTACGGTATTGGTCAGGTGTGAGAATAAATTACATTACATTGCATTTAGCTGACGCTTTTATCCAAAGCGACTTACAATAAGTGCGTTCGACCAACAAGATACAAATTCGAAGAAAACAGAATCATATAAGTACATCAGGTTTCATAGAGCTAAAACATTTCAAGTGCTACTCAACTGGCTTTAGATAAGCCAGCCCTATATTAGTATATAATAATAATAACAATAATTATTGTTAATAATTCATATGTAAGACTAAATCAAGGTGTGGAACAAAGCTAACTTATGTGTCAGTAAACAACCAGTAAACCTACACTCACACAGAATAGAAAATGTGATCACAAAATGCAAGTTGTTATTATGCAATAAGGAAGTAAATGATGATTTATAAAAAGGTATGGCCCGTCTCCTGACTCCTGCTACTTGTGGGCTGACCGGTTGGCTCTGTTCAAAATAAGTAATTGTATTGTGATTGATGTTATAAACCAATTAAACTAAACTAGTGTGGCCTTCCAGTGACTAAGGTGTTTGAGATTCGATCCAAACACACTTCAGTACCCACAACAATTAGATCAAACTTGATTAAATGAACCACATGGTCTAAATCAGAGATCTCGTGATTGAATGGGTACCACCCAAACATTCTCATATTTGCCAGGGTAACAATCCCTTTTCTCTGATATGAAATATTATGTCTGAGGGATTGATGTGTTGATGTGCAGCAATTAGGAAAAGAAAACACTGGCTTCCATACGATCCATCTCTGTCGAGCTGAAGGCTGGGCAGGCGGCCAGAGGCAGTTTCCCTTCCCCGGCCCACCGAGCAGGCAGACCTGGCCCCAGAAGCTGCGGCCATGCCAGCCGAGCACTCTGACGAGATTGCCGGGTGTCTTATTTTGGCAGCCCTCTGAGGGATAAGGTATCCTGCTTAGTTTCAAGCAACACTTTAAACTACTTTTCAAAGTGAAATGTGAAGGTGAAATCTGCATAGTCCATCATGACGCAACCACAAATAATCATTTTAAATGTAAAAACAGGTGGCTCAATTATTTGAGTTGCATTGCTTTCAGGTGCTCATACCGAAAAAGTCATTAGACTGCAATTCAACAGTACATGCACGCACACACTTAAAGGAATTAGTTATTACCCTTCAGTTCTGAATGAGGCAGTACTCGGCACTGAGAATCACGTGAGTATTTACGCACATGAACATACCCACACATTTGCACATACGCACACGCAGTGACACACACCATTCAAAGGGCTTTTTTTTCTCAAGGTGGAAGAAGCCATTAATGGAATCTTATTAAACCATAAAACAAGAACAAGGGTTTCTCCGCTCCATTGACAGACTACAAACCCCTGACTCTTTTAAGCAACGCATTTTTCAAGTCGATTTAAAAAACCATGTCAAATTTGTTTTTAAATCAATATTAATTCCCCTAATGTGTGGTAGTGCTCTTTGGGTCTGCTTCTCCCCGGAAGATTCATGGCTGGCTCGGGGACATTACAGGCAGAGCCTTCTCTACTTTGAGCTTAGAAACAAAACACTAAAGATAAATACAATAAAACACATATTGCTGCGGGGATTCCAAAAAAAATGTATTTTTTAAATATAACACGTAGTAAGGTGACTTTTTTGTTGAGTACCCTTTTCTGGAAACAAATAGGAGCTGAGGCCATTTTTCATTCTCCCTCCATAGCAAATGTAGGGATTTAAATGTTTGTAATGTTTTGTATAATAGTGCAGTCTTTGCTACCACAATCATCAAACAGCCTCATTGGAAAATGCACTACTAATTACCTCCTCAAAGCACAGAGCCAGCAAACCATTGACAAATTAAGTCAACCACTGTTATTGTGGTCCAACATGTCTTAAAATGAAGCTGCCTGCTGCATCAACCGCTCACTTGGTAAACGCACACCATCACCCAGGTCTCAAATACAAATAGAGGCAAGAACTACAGATTTCAACTTATTGTTTTTGACTATTGTATGGATTCTGCTGCACATAACCTTCTCTGTGGTATGCGAGAGGACAGAAGCTAAAAACTCGAGTTCAATAATACCATTTGTCACTTAATTTAATTTTGTGTCATGTAGAGATATTGGGGTTCATAGTTCTGATATCTAATTGAATAACAAGTTCAACCAAGGAAATTATCTTGTATATGTGTAAATGTACATATAAATATGTTGGATTTAAATAGTTACATAATATGGTACTGATAATAAGATTTCAATCTTATAGTATTATTAGTTATTATAGGATTATTATTTTTGCCCACCACTAAATGTACACAAGTCTATGACAAAGCTAGTATTTACCTGAGGTGCCTTGTGCAGTAAACTGTATCCAGAAACACAGTTTGTCATCCTCTCCAGTGACCTCTGTCTGTTGTATGTCCAGTGCTGCCACATAAACAGCACCGCTATCAGTTTCTCTGACATGTTGTAAGTGAAACACTATGGATGTTTGCCGGGGGAAATGTTGGTAACACTATGACACATATCTAAAGCACTATCAACATCATTATAATGCTTCCATTCATATAGCTCTACATAATCATAATGATAAGCACTTTTAAATAAATACATGTATACATTCATAATGCTTTATGGCAGTGGTCACCAACCAGTCGATCGAGTGTGGTGCGGGTAGATCGCGGACGAAGAAAGAAAAATAAAATTAAAATAATAATGTTTGAAAAATATGTTTTTAGATGTAAACATATCATCCACCACCCCGTTAGCAGGTGCCACTTGATTGACGTATATTTGAGACACCTCAATAATATAATACATTAACCGTGCTTTATGTGAACCTCATCATGACACAAGAGAGGACGGCAGGACTGCAATTTCCCGTTTTCAGTGAATGCAACAGAGGCAAGTCACCAGACCAATCAGAGAGTTGCATGGAAATACACGTGTGCTTGTGTCATTCAAGCTCGGCTCTCTCTGTGCGTGCGTGCGTGCGTGCGTGGTGGTGGTGGAGAGGGCGAGAGGGCGAGCGGGAGAGAGAGGGACCGGTGCTAGCGGGGACCGTGATGTTAGCATCTGGTTAGCTAGCTGCACTAACGGACATAAGGAGCTGTTTCCACAACAAGCTGGAGGAGAGTCCTCTCCTGTCAGACTGAGGGGCTCAGGTGAGCTAAAGGACGCTCTGAGTGATTAGAACGGTTTTGTCACAAATTATTCAAAAGATTATTTCCGCGGTACACCTTCATATGATCATTATAGTTATACAAACAATAAGAGAATAAATGAAAAACAGGTATGAAATACTATATGGCAGTAAAACAAGAATACAGTTTGAAAGGGGAGTGATTTGTAAAATATCCATAAAGAA